AATGTAAGACCCCAAACTTTAAAAATACTAGAAGAAAACCTAGGGAAAACTCTTCTGGGCATTGATCTAGGCATAGAATTTATGACTAAGGCCTCAAAAACACAGGCAACAAAAACAAAAACAGGTAAAAGGGACTCAAACTCCAAAGCTTCTGCACAGAAAAAGAAATAACAGAGTGAGCAGACAGAATGTGAGAAAATATTGCAAACTATTCATCTAACAGGTGACTAGGACCCAAAATATGCAAATAACTCAAAACAATTCAACAATAACAACAAAATAATCCCATTAAAAAGTGGGCAAAGGATATTAACAGACATTTTTCAAAAGTAGATGTACAAATGACCAACGAGTATAGTAAAAACTGCTCAGCATCACTAATCATCAGAGAAATGCAAATTAAAACCACAGCGAGATACCATCTTACCCCAGCGAGAATGACTACTATTAAAAAGACAAACAATAACAGATGTTAGCAAGAATGCAGAGAAAAGGGAATCTGTTGGTAGGAATGTAAATTAATATAACCTCTGTGGAAAACAGTATGGAGATTCCTCAAAGAACTAAACAGAACTACCATATGATCCAGCAATCCATTACTGGGTATCCACCCAAAGAAAAAGAAATCATTATACCAAAAAGATACCTGCACTTGTATGTTTATCACAGCATTAGTCACAATAGCAAAGATATGAAATCAATGTAAGTGTCCATCAATGGATAAAGAAAATGTGGTACATATACACAATGGAATACTATTCAGCTATAAAACTGAATGAAATCATGTCTTTTGCAACAACATGGATGGAACTGGAGGCCATTATCTTAAGTGAAACAAGCCAGACACAAAAAGTCAAACATTGCATGTTCTCACTCATCAGCGAGTGCTGAAACGTGTGTATACACGGACATAGAAAGGGGAATGGTAGATAATGGAGACTCAGGAAGGTGGGGAGTGGGAGGGGGGGAAGATGATGAGAAATTGCCCTGACTTGACCACTACACAATCTAGGCATGTAACAAAATTGCACCTGTACCCCATAAATTTGTGCACATGAAAACATAACAGCCCATACTGCTGGAAAATGATTCCTTAAGACCATACCAGTCACGATTCGGACTTTAATTAGGCCTTCCATTCTTCCTTGGTTCTCTGGATTCCATCCCTAAGCTCCAGGAGCCATTTAAATCAGCACCCTCCTGTGCAAAACGTGTCTGTGTCAAGTTCAACCCTTCCTTATCATCTGTTCTGTTCAGGCTGTATTAGTTGATATATTTCCTGGGCCTCAACCTTTACAGCTGTACTACCCTCTTTATGGAATTTATATGCTTCGGAAGTTTTATAGAATTTATGATTTTTAAAAACTGAGATATATCTGCTATTTCACTTTCATTATCATTTCAATAATTATCACCTTCATATATGTTTAAATCTTCATAGACAAGGTCTCCTAACATTTAGACCCTGATAAGTTATAATTAGTCATTAAAAAAGGCTTTCAGTGAAGTATCCTTCCTTCCTATGAATGAGTAACTCCTGAAATAGTGGTTCAACCTTCAGGATCTGACTGTATGGTTGGATATGTTTGTATTTGTTTTCACTGGAAAATCAGGTGAAATGTTTGAAGTCCAATTAGTTGTATTTTCAGTTAGAATCGTTGGCCTAAGAATGTTCTCATGCCTCTGTATTGCTGTCATACAAGGAAAAAAACACCATCAGAATCTATTAGGATTTTTCCCCTTATTAAATTTAAATGTAAGTCTTAGTCACCTCTTGTTCTCTCAGACAGGCTGTCTTCTTACACACCCCATACAAAACACCAAATGGCTTGAGACTGGTTGTCTCTGATTCAGAAAGTGCTCAGGGCTCATTGTTAATTGGCCTGACAAAAATACCTCATATAATTTCCTTTTCATAATAGTCTCCATTTAAACAAAAAATATTCAAGCTTTCATCTTCAAAGTGTTGTTAGACTTTATCTAAATGGCTTCAAAATCCTAAGGAAGAAAAAAGGAGAAAAGAAACTAGTTGAAAATTCTCCAAATAACCCAGCATGACCACGTCTACGTGCTTTTTAAGGCATTTCCTAATCAAAGAACTAGAGGATATCTTGGTGGCTGTATATTAATTAGAAATTGAAACATGGAGGTTTTTCACAATATCCTCTCTTAATAATTTGAAGAGTTTGGCACCAGGATTTTCAGTGTCGTGTGTTCCCCTTTTTGCCACAGGGAGGGATTGTCACTAATCATTCTTCTGGGCACACAGATGGAAGAGTTTCTGCAATGGTGGTCTTGGTGTTATACAGACATTCACACACACGCACACACAATGGTGTATGTGTATGTATGTGTGTTTTGGGAGACGGGGTGTAGTGTGGTGGTGAGGATTCTTACAGTAGCTCCTTTTGTGATGTGTAAGTTGGCTGTCTATAATTCATCTTTTATTTGCAAACCTCAGTAGGACAGCAACAAGAATAATTGTAGCTTGTCTGTGTGTGGCTTTGAGTTGGGAAGGTGCAGCATGCGACGACCATTTATTGCATTAGAAGTTATACTCCTTTGATTCCATCTTCTACAGTGAAAAAAAAAACAAAAAAAAAAAAAAAGAAGTTATACTCTATAAGCTACTGAAGTGTACAGTATCAGAGAGCGTTTTGATAATAGCTCAATTTCATTGATTGTTGCAAAGATTCAATGAGTATGTGACCCTAGTGAAACAGGAAATACTTCCATCTAAAATCAGTTTAGTCAAGTTGTCCACATGGGCACAGACATTTATTTAATAGCAAACGGCGGCAACATCTGAACAAAGATATTTTTCAAGGGGAAAGGGAGTGAACTCTGCTTATTTCAGACTCAAGCAAAGGCCAGTTATTTTGTTTTGTTTCTTAAATATAATTTAATTTTAGAATAATTTTAGATTTACAGAAACATTTGCAAAGGTAGTACAAATAGTTTCCACATGCCCCATACTCAGTTTCACCTCTTGCTAACATTTACATAAGTATGGTACATTTGATCCAATTAATTGACAAAATTTATGGATTATTATTAATAGTAACTAAAGCCCATATTTTATTCAGTATTCCTTAGTTTTTCCCTAGTGTCTTTTTTCCTTTCCAGAATTCTATCCAGTATATTGCATTACATATAACTGACAAGAAAAAGTTTTTTTCCCCCTCTGGCTTTTGGACTTGTGTGAGGACTTGTGGTGTTGTGGTGACTGTCTTGTGATTGTAAGGAAATGAAGCTGGGAACCAAAGTTGACATGCTGAGAGCAACAGAGAGGAACTATGGGAAAAAAGCTGAGTTTTTAATGATGTTTAATGGGATCTCTGGACCCACCAACAGTGAAATCAACCTTTCTCTGGACTTCTTGATATGTGAACAATAAGCCTCTTACTTTAAAAATCATTTGAGTTACTTGCAACCCAAACCATCCTACTAGATATAGTGTATAACGATAACAATGATAAACTTAATGTACCTTCAAAAAGTCCAGTGGAGTGGTACTGTAGAAAGGGCACGGCAATGGGAGTGGACGAGGTATGTTTGAGTCTATGCAACTGCCAACAGGCTCTGTGACATATTGATCAAGTGACTACCTCTCTGTGCTGTGGTTTTCTCATTTCTGATATAGGGGTTTGAACAGACTGATCTCCGAGGCCTCTACCAGTTCTAAAACACTTGTTTCTTAATAGATCTAGGCCAATCTCTTCTGTTACATTTAAATAAGGGGAAGCTCAGAGACTTAAAAACTTGCCCAAGCTTTCTTCAATTGATAGTGCCTGACTACCAGTCTAGCCTGCTCTTTTATTTATGCCTCCCCTTGAAGGTGTTTATTAGAACATCTGCAATTCACACAAAGCTGTGAATTATTTTAGAGATTCTATTAGTCAGGGTCCTTTGGTCTTAAGGGACAGAAATCCAGCTCGAACTAACTCAAGCCAAAAGGGAATTTATTGGTTTACGTAACTGGAAAGTCCTGGCATTAATTTGGCTTCACATATGGTTGGTTCCAGGGGTTCAAACAATGCTTTCAGGTCTCTCTCTCTCTCTCTCTTTTCTGCATGTTGGTTTCACTCTTGGTCAAGATCACTCCACATAGTGGGCAAGGCGGTCCCTCTCAATCACAGGCTTACATTGTCCTCACAGATCTTAGAGGAATCACCTTCCTTGCAGGGGGCATACCTTGTTTGTTTAACAAACTTTTGGAAGAAGGATCATGCCTCTCCTAATCGCTATGATAGGGAAGAGGGGTGTGATCCCATCCTCTCACCCAGGGTGGTTGGAATGGATTTTCAAATTGGCCAAACTGTTCCCTTCCCCTGGCCACAACTATTGATTTGGGGAACTGACATTCAGGAGCCTTCACAAAGAAGGGAGCAATTCAAAATTAAATGGCCTATATAAATATTTTTTAAAAATAAAATCAATAAATATAATATTAAAAAAATTAAGCAGCCTATCAGTTACATTGAAAAGGGGCCAATAGCAATTAAAATACCACTTTGCCTCCCTCCAGATAACTAATATAAATCAATTCATCGGAGGGTACGTGTGAGATAGGGATTTGATGCCTCTGCTTTGATAACTGTAAAAGTGATCAGAATGATTTCCTATTTGATTGAGGGTTTTTTCCCCCTCTATCTTAGAACTCAAGTCACAGCTAATGACCCTAATGATTTTGAATAGCTCCTGAGGTCGTTTAAAAGCAGAAGCTCTCAAACTTGAGCCCACATCAGAATAGGGCCTGTTAAAGTGCAGACCACCTGGTTCCTCCCCCAAAATCTCCGATTCAGTAAATCTAGGGTGGGCCTGGGACTGCATTTCTAACAAGTCCCCAGGGACCTGGCTGCTGGTCTGGGGGCCACACTTTGAGAATCTGCTCTTGCATGGACATCATTAAAACTACTGCAGGAGAGACATCTTATAAATACAAGGCCTTATATTCACAGTTACAAAGAAAGAATACACACATGTCTTATTTCTTCTAGGCAAAGAATACATGTTAAAGTAAATGAAGCATCATCCTGGAACTGGAGTGTCGAGAGGGGCTTTCAACTTGAACCTTCCAAATGGGCCGCTGGGAAGTGGCCTGCCACTTGCTTATACCACAGTCCCCTGGGCTGGCCTCAAGAGGTACATTCCAGCCTTACTTCTTGGGAATTGAGTTGATTCCTCAACTTTTAGTTAGGTGGAACCTTGCTGTGTTACTTTTATAAATGAGGTTGAAATTCCAACCTTCCAACCACTTTGTGATTACAGGACTTAGATGCTGTGGATAATAAATTCAAGTTCTCTGGTGACTGCCGGCCTTTTACATGTGTCCAGATGGCCTTAATTTTTTAATGGGTTTGGTTCAAGCTGTATATAAAGCTCCCTTTCCCCTCCTGCAGCCATTCTCACTACAGCTCTGGCAGCTGCTACCTTCTCCCCCATCCCCACCCCCTTTCCTATAATGTTATTCTTTATATTCCAAGAACCTGTGTTGTTGGTCACTGTCACCAAAGGATAAAGCAGCTGGATTTCTCTAAGCATAGTGTTTATACAACTTAGAAGAACTTTAATCTTGAGTCGAAATTCTTACTTCCTCACTCAACAACCCACTGTGGCTCCCTGGTGCCAACCACATCAAATCTGTACTCCTCTACCTGAGTTTCAAAGCAATGATTTCTGGTGGTGTGACATCTGGCACACTGTGGATTTTTGTAAATTTCTTTTCTATTACAGACCAGGACCTAGTGTCCCTATTGAGCTAAAAGCTGCATAATTCAAGATAAGGGCTCCAGGGGAGGTTTTTTTTTTTAATCACAAAACCATAGCTGGCCGCCTTTTCCTCAAAAATCCTGGATTCCTTTATATTTATAAGTAACAGGCCAACTTCTTTAATCAGTTCCCTTGAAATAACAATGTTCCAACTCAACATAACAAAGATGCATGTCTTAACTTGTAATAAATGAGTGGGAGTTACACAAAGGCAAATGGTACTCTAGCACATCCGAACTTATGATTGCTGACATCTAGGGATATTCAGGTCAATGTTGAATTCAATTTAATGTTGAATCACTTCAGGAAGTCCAAAGATTTCTCATTACACATGGTGAGTGTGTTTCCTCAAGGAGGTACAGTACTTGGCATCTTTTAGATGAGTGTGAATCACCACTTAGTCTGGCTGCTATACAAGTACGTATTGTTTTATTGAATAAGAGGGTAAAAAGTCATATGAAACATTGCGTGCTACAAATGGCCAGGGAATAATTTGACTTGCCTTGATGCAACTTAATTTACACATTGGACTTCTAGAAAGAAAAAAAAAAGATTGTTCCACAAATATATCTTAGTCTGGGCATGGGAGCCATGAATGGCTTTGATTATTATTTTTTTAGTTGACTTCCTCTTGTCATTTTTTTGGGGGGGTTATAATATTTTTAAGATAAAATAAAACTAATTTCAGGCAGGGTGAAAATTAAATAGGTTGAAAATAGGGTACGAGGCACTTGCTGTAGGCAAAATGGACAAGGAAGACAACATAAAATTTTCTCCAATTTCTAAAACATTATCATTTATTCCCAACACTACCGAATATAATTTCCTTCTTTGCTGAGCTGAATTTTTTTCTCAAACTTATGATTTGTAGCTATATTTAAGGTTTGACACGTCGTCTCCAGAAAGAAAATATAATGAACTTGTTTTACAAACTCAGATCACACTCAGGGGATATTGCTTTAAATACAAGAATTATGCTGGTTTTGCAAATCATGCTTGTTCTGTAAGATGTCAACATCCCTGGAATTTTACATACATGAAGATATTTGGATAAACCTTCTATACCTACAGTCCCCAACCTGTGGTACCGATCCGTGGCCTGTTAGGAACTGGGCCACACAGCAAGAGGAGGTGAGTGGTGCTTGAGCAAGCAAAGCTTCATCTGTACTTACAGCCACTCCCCATTGCTCACCATCCCTACCACCCTCTGGTCCGTGGAAAAATTTCCTTCCATGAAACTGGTCCCTGGTGCCAAAAAAGTTGGGGACCACCGCTCTATACAGAAATCCTGATTTAGCATTTCTTTAGTAAAGGGAAAAACTAAACTACAACTAGAATTTTATCTGGATATTTCCAAACATGACATGCATCTATACCGAAATATCCAGCTGAGTGACACTAGAGTGTCTTCCGAGAAGCTAGCCTGAATTATTTGAAACATTTACAAGTGAATAGTGGGTATGGACATACACAGATCCAGTCTGAATTTGTTTCAATACAGAATCAGAATTAAGGAAAAGGGACAGTCACAAAAATATGTTCTGGATCTTCCTTTGCTTCCCCACCCCCCTGAGGCTACACAAAACCTTGTCAAACAGGCTCCACTGTAGGATGGAACTGTAAGTATGAATTTCAGTCCTTTTCTTTATTTCTCATACATTTTAAACTTTGTTTTCAGTATTTCAGTTTTTAACTTTTTAATCTCTCTATATAAACTAATTGCTACCTCTAGCTCCTTTTCTGGAAGATAATTTAAAGGCCAACTGGGGTCTCATGCGGCACTATTTTCTGAAGTAGCCTTTAGGTTGGAGATTGTTCCAGCGCACATCACCCCATCAGTTGTCTTCCTGTGCCATGCTGAGAGTAGCAGTCTTTTTTTTTTTTTTTTGAGACAGAGTCTCACTCTGTTGCCCGGGCTAGAGTGAGTGCCGTGGCGTCAGCCTAGCTCACAGCAACCTCAAACTCCTGGGCTCAAGCGATCCTGCTGCCTCAGCCTCTCAGGTAGCTGGACTACAGCATGGCCACCATGCCGCTAATTTTTTCCATATATTTTTAGTTGGCCAATTAATTGCTTTCTATTTTTAGTAAAGTTGGGATCTCGCTCAGGCTGGTTTCGAACTCCTGACCTTGAGCGATCAACCTGCCTGGGCCTCCCAGAGTGCTAGGATTACAGGCATGAGCCACCACGCCTGGCAAGAGTAGCAGTCTTTGATCTTAGACACCAGGTCTTAGACCCAGATCCCCTGGGGGCACTTCATGGTGATTTCCCTCATCTCCTGCCGTGTCCTCCACATGAAGCCAAGAGAGAGCCAACAGCCATCCTTCTCCCCCACTCTCCTCACAAATCTGAAAATATCTTGCTAGTCTGGCTAAAATCTCTCCCTCTTCAAACTCGTTCCTCTTGCATGTGCTTAGGCTCTTAGAAATAAAACCCAGGAAGGGCTATCTTAGACCTCCCATAAGGCAAGGATGCCTGGTGTCTTCTACCTGCTTAGATGCAGGAACAGAAAATGAAAAATATCACAAAATGTTATCCTGCCACAATGTTTTCTTGCATTTGGACTCTTCAGTTCCTGGATCTGGACCGTAATATCTGATTTTCACAACACAAGGCAGATACAAAGGGCTTGTGGGAGTTTGAAACCCAGCCCACTATAATGTTAGTTAGGAAAGATGAATCTCATGACTGCACACCTGTTAGAATGGCTGCTATCAAAAAAATGCATGATAACAAGTGTTGGTGAGGAGGTAGAAAAAGAGAACTCTTGAATAGTGTTGGTGGGAATGTAAGTCAGCACAGCTATTATGAAAAATAGTATGGAGATTCTTCAAAAAACTAAAAATAGAACTAGCATATGATCTAGCAATCCCATTGCTGGGTATATATCCAAAGAAAGGAGGCCGGGCGTGATGGCTCATGACGCTACAATAACATGGGAGTGCAGCACTTCTCTTCCATATACTGATTTCCTTTCTTTGTATTTTGTTTTGTTTTGTTTTGTTTTTTGAGACAGCATCTCACTTTGTTGCCCAGGCAGTGGCATCAGCCTAGCTCACAGCAACCTCAAATTCCTGGGCTCAAGCAATCCTGCTGCGTCAGCCTCCCGAGTGGCTGGGACTACAGGCATGTGCCACCATGCCCAGCTGATTTTTTGTGTATATATTTTTAGTTGATCGATTAATTTATTTCTATTTTTAGTAGAGATGGGTCTCGCTCAGGCTGGTTTCGAACTCCTGACCTCGAGCCAATCCGCCTGCCTCGGCACCTCCCAGAGGCTAGATTTACCAGG